TAGAAGTAGACATCTTCTTCTGACGTGTTTGATGCCAACATTGGTTTGTAGGGTTCTGGATAGCGGTTCCATCCTAGGAAGTGTTTAAGTGTCTAGTAGCTGGCCATGTTCTGAGGCTGAATCTTCTGTGACAATTTCAGAAGGTTGAACAATATGAAGGAATTCTTCTTTCTTTAATAATATGGAGCCAATATACAGACAAATTTTGATAATCTTTTATTTCGGAGCCAATGTACAGACAAAATAGTGGTTATGCCAAGTGTAGTGCTTTTAAAATAAAAATTTAGAATTTATATTATAAAGATAGATCGAAAGCTTTCTAATTATACACACTTTATTGCCTAAAACGTGTGTTAACGAAATAGGCACTGTCGGACGCTGAAAATAAAGTTGTAATTAGTTGGAAATGACTATGTACTTCATAAATCAATAACTTTGGTTGCTATTGATCTCTGTACTTGTGATTTATGTTTCTGGGTAAGGGACTCTTTGGGAATTGGCCTTTATATTGAATTAAAGAGGTAAAATAGGCCTGGCTGGAAGATAGACAAGAATTTTACAACTCTAGGATCATATAAGACACGCTTGTGCTTCCAGCTGCCAGAACAGTATAGCCAGAAATATATAATCACCTATTATTGTATTACTAATAGAACGATTACCCCATATAACATCCAGCTTGCCGGACTGCCGCAAAACGTATAGCCGGCAGGATGTCAATGTATTCACCGTCCTACCTTATATGAAATTAACTGAAGCTAAGTTAGCTGTTCAGGCTTGTGACAAGCTTCAACCTTCAGGCCGCCCCTATCAGTTGAAATAGAACAGATCATCAGTAGCAGTTTGAAGGAAGAAAAGATAGGTTAAGAGTGTTTACTGATAATTGACTTCACTTTATTGCTATTAATTGATTTTGTATTCAAAAATATACTTTGACAAAAATCTTTATTTTCAAAAATACAAAAATTTACTTATTAAAAATACTGTACACCTGAGTTGAGAAAATTTACTTATTTTCAAAACTATCAAAAATTTACTTATAAAAATAATGTACTCCTGAGTTGAGAAAATTTACTTATTTTCAAAACTATCCCGATTCTGACACCATTGTTGTGGTGATGAAAAAATATGGTTAATAAGTGGTGTTTCTAAAAATAGAAGCAGGCCTCTATCCCACTTGGCACCATTGTTGTGGTGTTGAAAATTAAAACCTTTTTGATTTCTATTAATAGAATTTAGTTACTTATTACCTAATGTTCTTAGTTTGCTCAGAAGTACTCTTTAATAGGGAAAAAATCTAATCGTCAGGATGACACCACCCTTTGAATGCAAAGGGAAATAAAACACAAATGTTGAATAAACTTAAATCAACCAAATTTTTAATGAACTAAGCTTTTATTTACACTTAACTAAAAGTTACTTAAAACTAAACAAGTTGACAAAATGTACTTTAATATAAACTGTCTGTAATTAACCAAAAATATGATAATCAAAATAAACTAGCGAATAAAAGATTTAAACCAATTGAAAGTTGTTTAAACTGTTATAACTGAAAATATGATAAATAACCTTAATGATTCTGTGCTGTTAAACTAATAACCTAAATAGTAGCAAGCCCTGTTTTAATCTATGTGAACAAAAATAGAGATCTAATAATTCAAGATGGCTGCCACTTAAAACAAAGAAAAGATATTAATTAATCTTAATTAACTCTGTAAAAATAATTACTAATATTACTTACAATTTTAACAAAAATAATTTAGTGAATTTAGATAATCTCTAAGGTTCATTTAAATGCCAAAGTGCCTAAAATAAATTAAATAATTAATTAATTAACCTTAGAGAGCTTTTAGAGATCTTACTTTTCCAAAAATTAGCAGCAGAATGATAAAATTGTTTGAGATGCTTGTATAAATGGACTTCTGAAATCCTAGAGGGAGCTAGCATCTACCTACAGTGTGCACTGTATGTAACAACTTATCTGATTGGTCAAATTACAGCCAACCAGAATTTACTTAACAAAGCTCTAGGCTATCAAGTCTTTTACATAACTAGTCTAAAAATAGATTATGATTCATGGAAAAGTTTAACATGAAACAATATTGACATTTCTATAAAAGATGATAATAATGACTAAGTAATACAAAGTAATCAAAATAATCAAAATACTAATAAGAAACTAAACATATTTACAAACATATATAATGCTAAATCAGTAACTTGTATCTCACTTTAAAGTTTAAGGATAATATAAGTAAAAGTAGAACCATTCTCTATATGTTGTATATAAAGAGTCTTAGGCCATGCTAAGTTACTGTTAATGAGTGTATCAATAAGTTCTACAAACTATAATCAACATTAAACTAATGAATGATAAGAATGAAATGTCTGTAAAACAATACAATATTCAATATGATTAAACTTTAAAATAAACTTAAATCTCAGTTAAAGTTTAAACCCTTAATATTTCTTGAAAAATATGTATGAAGATTATATATGATTAACGTCTTTAGTAATATTATACAATATTATGTAATGATTATGTAAGCTGTTGTAAGTGGAATCCAACTTTACAACACTGTCATTACCCATGTCATCCCTGTCATTACCCATGTTATCCCTGTCATTACCCATGTCATCCCAACATTACACATGTTACCCCCAACAATACCCATGTTATCCCCAACATTACCCTTGTCACCCCCAACAATACCCATGTCATCCCCAACAATACCAATGTCACCCTATCAATACCCATGTCATCCCTGACATTACCCATGTTCTCCCAGGCATTACCCATGTCATCCCTAACATTACCCATGTCATCCCTGACATTACCCTTGTATTCCCTGACATTACCCATGTCATCCTTGACATTACCCATGTAATCCCTGACATTACCCTTGTCACCCCTAACAATACCCATGTCATCCCTGACATTACCCGTGTAATCCCTGACATTACCCATGTTATCCCTGACATTACCCATGTCCATCCCTGACATTACCCTTGTCACCCCAAACAATACCCATGTCAATCCCAACAATACCCATTCCCCCCATCAATACCCATGTCATCCATGACATAACCCATGTTATCCCTGACATTACCCATATTATCCCTGACATTACCCATGTTATCCCTGGCATTACCCTTGTCATCCCCAACAATACCCATGTCATCCCTGACATAAACCCATGTTATCCCTGACATTACCCATGTTATCCCTGACATAACCCATGTTATCCCTGACATAACCCTTGTCACCCCAACAATACCCATGTCATCCCTGACATTACGTATGTCATCCCTGACATTACCCATGTTTTCCGTGACATTACCCTAGTCACCCCCAACAATACCCATGTCATCCCTGACATTACCCATGTAATCCCTGACATTACCCATGTTACATGTCATCACTGACATTACCCATGTCATTCTGACATTAACCTTGTCACCCCCAACAATACCCATGTCATCCCTGACATTATCCATGTTATCCCTGACATTACCAATGTCATCCCTGACATACCCATGTTATCCCTGACATTACCCATGTCATCCCTGCTATTACCCTCGTTATCCCTGACATTACTAATGTCATCCCTGACATTACCCTTGTCACCCCAACATTACCCATGTCATCCCTGACATAAAACATGTTATCCCTGACATTACCAATGTCATCCCTGACATTACCCATGTTATCCCTGACATTACCCATGTCATCCCTGACATAAAACATGTTATCCCTGACATTACCAATGTCATCCCTGACATTACCCATGTCATCCCTGACATTACCCATGTCATCCCTGACATTACCCATGTCATCCCTGACATTACCCATGTCATCCCCAACATTACCCATGTCATCCCCAACATTACACATGTCAACCCCAGCATTACCCATGTCATCCCAAACACTACCCATGTCATCCCCAGCATTACCAATTTTCCTGGTGATATCTGTGAAATTTTATTAAAACAGATGTTTTTTTAGGTCATGACAAACTAAAATAAGGACAAAAACAACAATTATTTCAAGTAAATTTTAGGTTGGGTCTTTGACAAGAAAGTTTCCTATTACCAGCTGGAAGATTTCATAGCAATTTAATTTCTATAATCATGTTTAATGGGACATTTATCTAGACAGCAAGGACAGACAAATATTGATCTATTATGTAAACTGATGTATTTTAAGTAACACATATTAGTACACTTGGGTCTGATATTTATTTAAAGACACTAAAAGAAGCATTCAGTGACCAAGCATGAAAGTCATACAGTTAAAAATTTACCTGCTTTTAGCCGTTAAATTGTTACAACTGAATATAATCAGCCTCTGCTACCACTGTATTAAACAAGGTCAGCCTGAACCTCTGGACTGCCTGTCAGGCTAATTACTTTGTTGTCTGACTAACTTTTTCATTTTGATACCCTTAAGTTGGTAATGGACAGTCCCAAAGATGAAACCTGGGCAAGTCCATTTAAGAAATTTGGCAGGTTAAAGATAGGGACAGAGATGACACTGCAAATTCATTATTATTTGTGGGGAACTAATTTTTGTGATTTTCGTGGATAGGTCAATCCAATTTTTTTAGATCCATTTAAATTTCATTTCTTCTGCTGTAAGATAATATTGCATCCTGTTATTTACATTTTACCTTTTCAAAAAATAAACAGTCCACAAATTAAAGAACCCACGAATATTTTCATTGTGACATAACCACGAAATTTCATGCCAATGAAATTTGGTTAATTCACAGTAGATTAACACATGCCTGCTGGCTGCAAATTATTTTATACTAATGGGATCACAACCATTACAGACCAATAACTGAGGTATCTGATCATTGTATGCTTTGACTGCTATTTAGTTACTATATATCTTGAAATTTTCCCTAATTATGATTAATGGTTCTGTGGAGATTAAAAGACAAACATGTTTTTTTAAGATATATAATGTAACAATTGATTGTGCATATACTTTGTAGCAAGAGAAAGAGCAAGAAAAACTTAGAAAGAAGGAAGAAGAAAGGGAAAGAAAGAGATTGGAAAAAGAAAAGAAAGCCTTACTTGCAGAGGAAAAGAAGGCAGCTAAACAGAAGTCAAAACAAAAGGTTAGTTTTATTATTATGACTTCAGTAGATTTGGTATCAATATCATATTTTATAAGAATAACAATTTCTAGCCCTAAATTGTATATTTATATTTGAATTCCTAGCCCTTTGTATGCTTTTTTAATTTCTTGCCCTTTGTATATTTTTGCATTGAAATGATAATTATATTTATCATATTCAAAGTAAAATTTGAATTTTATAAACTCACCAGTTATATTAAAACTGTGTTAATTAATTTGCTATTTTAAACCAATCAAATTCAGTCTCTGACATTACTCCTAACTGTTGGTAGCTCTATTTTAATATTTGCTGGACTGTACTAAATTAATTAATCCACTACACAAGTTCAACAGTGTTAAACATTCACTGTCTGACACATCCCGAAGAATTTGAAATTCTGAAAAAAAGCAAAAAAAAAAGATTAAATTTGATCTAATGTACTTAACCCTTAAACTACTTGAACTGAAAATGAGAATCCTTTTCCATCAGTACTCAGCCAGGCCTGCCTGCACATGCATGCAGTTTGACCTGGCTCTGTTCACTGTTAGCCAATTAATTTAATTTTTTTTTTTTTAAATTTGATTTCTCCCAAATTTAAACTGTTCTAAAATTGAAAGCTGGACTAGTCCATTTAAGAAATTCAGCAGGCTAAGGGTTGAAACTTTTTGTGTGTTTTAGGGCAAAGATAAGAAAGATCCGGAAAAAGATGTTCGTGAAAGACGTGATAGTCGTGGCAGTAATGACATGGGTCGTGACTGGGAAAATGTCCGGTCACAAGATGAACGCGGTCCAGTAACGCCGGAGAGGTCGAGAAAGAGGCTGAGCAGTTTTGAGGATATCAAGGTTTGTTTCTGAATGTATTGTGTAAAACATTTCAGTGAAATTTTCCCGCAATTTCGTTCAGTTTTTGTTGCTTTTTAGAGAACTAATAGCATGATCATACTTTTGTTTATATTTTTGTTGAAGATTTGTTTGATGTCACAGGGCTTTTTGCTTTGATAAAACCTTTTTTAAGAAGTAACAGGGTCAGTGTAACAGACCCCTTCTTTTCTTTGAAAGTGCATAAAAAAGAAGACAAGGAAAAGCAAAACAAGCATACAAAAGTAGAAAACTAGTACATAGCAAATAAAAAAATTTAGTTAACAACAAGGGGGAATACTTGTGGATTAATTCCTTGAGAGGCAAAGCATTCTGTGCATATCAATATATTTTTTTGTTCAATTAGTAATTATGTGTGTTTAATAGAAGTTTGCATGCTCCCATAAATACATTGTCTTTTTTTCTGTTACTGCATAATTATTATAAATGCTGTAAAATCATTTGGAATTTCTGCATATTAAGTACTTAAAAGTATTATGCCAATGTTAAATTTAAAACTATTATGACAGTCTTTTTACCAAAGTTTTTACCAAACAAACAATGTTTTATATATTTGTGGAAAAGATGGTTTTAACAAGTCTTAATGATAACGGACATAAATGAGCATGTATGCATGCCACTGTATTGGTATTTTCTCAAAAAATGTTGTCACAGTGGAAAACGCCCTTTTACGTGACAAAAATGAAATTAAAACTAGGTATCACAAAAACTGTTGAAATAATTTGAGAAGGGCTAGGTTTTTATTTTAATACATGTGTTTACCTGATATAAGTAGATATTTCAGTCAGATTATAGATTTGTTAACCAGGGGTCACAGGTTCAATCCTCGTGTAAGATGATTTATATGGGACATTAAGTCTAATGGTCATTTGTCTCTTACTGCTGCTTCAGAATTCATATGTGAGTAGTGTTGGTAACTTTCTGAGAAAATATGTAATTACTGGTTAGTTATCCAGGAAAGGTGGAGCGACCACAGAGATAATGACCAAAAATATGTTAAAATCGGATGTTAAATACCAGACAAACAAACAAATTTATTCATTGGTGACTGTAATCCTAAAATCTATAAGAAAGAGTCATTGAGAAATTGCAATGATTTTACAGTGTTTACAGCCATGAACTTTATTACCTGTACTTTGGTACCCTATTCTTAGTTTCATACCATTTTACTTTTTCAGCATAATTCATTCAAAGGGGTAAAGTTTCGCTTTATTTCTGCTTGCTTAGCAAAAGCTTACTTATTTTCTGCATTAATATTGAAATTATCCAAATGTTTAAAGGGGGAAAACATTGTTTTGAGTCAATAGTAGATGTCAGTGCCTGATAATTAATTCTTGTGTTATTTATTTATGCTTCATTCATTAGGTATAATTATCTAAAATTACAAACAAAGGTTTTCAATTTTACATACTACATGTTTTGTGAATTTTGTTCATAGAAAAATTAATTTTGACTCAAAGGTGAATTACATCTAGGTAAAATTCTATCAGCAATAATAAAAGCTAGTCTGATTGATTGATTGATTGATTGATTGAGTTATGTTAATTGGGATAGAAAATTAGGATTGGACACTAGTGCTGAAAAAATTTGTATCTGATTAGTTGATCCATTGCATCAAACTTTGAGTAGAACTTTCAACCTTTAAGACTTATTAAAGTACCATTAAGCCTCCAAAATGCTATATTGTTATGCTGTTATTTCTGAATAGTGTTTATTCTTTAATGTCCTGTTACATTTTCAAAAAGCTATACTCATTGACCATATGGCTGTTTCATCTTTTGATTCTGCTTGCTTTCTGACAATTAGTGCTGCGTGAGTTATAGTCATTTAGTATTGTGTAATGTATGGAAGTCAAAATTCTACTTTTTTTTACATTTTTCTACCTTTAAATTAATCCACATTCAGCACAATTTTCTTTAAGTCAAAGCTATTATCATTGTTCTTAATCTTTTACAAAATGTATTTCATTATAAAACACATATTTTGCCATTTCTGCAGAATGAAAAAATTATTCATTAGGGAGGAGGCTTCATGTGCCTTTAATAAACTTCAATCATAAAAAAAGATTAGTAATTTTTGCATAGGTGATGGATAACTTAATTTAGTTATGGAGCTTTCTATTGGATGCCATGCTAAATATTGCTGCTACATGTTTGTGAATTTTGTCATAGAAAAATTATTTTCAACTCAAAGGTGAAGGTCATTTGGGAAACGCAATTAGATATTTTTATACCCCAGCACAACAAAGTTGTAAGGGGGGTATACTGGAATCAGCTTGGCCGTCCGGCAGTTTTTCCTTGTCTACCCAATAACTTAAGATTCCTTTGACCCACAGTTTTCAGGTTTGTCATGACTAGTAGATGATCCCTATTGATTTTGAGGTCGCTGGGTCAAAGGTCAATGTCACAGGGGCCTTGACTTAAAAAACCTTGTCCGCCCAATAACTTAAGATTCATTTGACCCACAGTCTTCATATTTGGCATGCAGGTTAGTCATGAATATTGATTTTGTGGTTACAGGGATTTTTACTATGATAAGTTTGTCTGCTCAAATGCTTAAGAATGCCTGTCCGCAGTGTATTGATTTTGACATTTTCACATTTGAAGCATTTAGAATACATAACTAAGCAATGCACTGGCTTCAAGTAACTTTAGATTTGGCAGGGAGGTTGTCCTTGAGCTCTAAATGGCCACTGTTGAATCTGACAAAGTGGTATGCGGGGGTATTCACGCCATGACAGTGGCAGTTCTAGTTTTAAAAGGTTGATTTATTTTATGTTTATCTGAAGATTTTTCATTATTTTCAAATTGTGTTTTGGGCATTAGGGTTTATCTTTCAAAAGTGTCTTATGGACATTGTAAACATGTAGTTTAAGCATAAATCAGATCAATCAGACATGTGTGAAGTCAGGTTGCTTCTTCAACCAGGGTGTGTTTAAACTTATAACGAGGCCATTTTAACTCAGTGATTTATAAATCAAAACAGATTTATAAATCAAAACTGATGCTTATTCAACTTGCAGCATTTTTGCTTTTATATTAAGTTTTTATGTATGGATCATTTGGTACTGTGGGAACAACTGGAAAGATTTCCTCCTTTAGTCAAATTTCATGCTTTTGATCTGGGTGGAGCACCTTTACAAGGCTGATTTACAAACCAAGATTACATGAAACTACATGAACTTATCTGCTATGCAGAAGGAAAAGGGGGAGATGCTAGGTGCCTTAGATGAGCATGTTTTTGTAGTTTGCATGTGAAAAAAATAGTTATAATGGAATTGAAAACTTAGTCAAGCCTAAGTCAAGCCTTATGTTAAACATTCTGCATAGTTAACAGTCATAAATATTCTTTGAAATTATATCTTTATAAAAGATTATAAAATAAAAGGAATAACCACTTCTTTAGCTAATAAACTACAGAGCTTCACAAAGTTAAGACACAAGTTGCTTATAATATGCATGTTAATCATGCATGTTAATTTAGTGTTGAAATAATTCTGAGGAGAAATTGTATGAGTTCATTAACATACAAATTGAGATATTTTAGGAACATAATATTTTTCTGACTTTATATTTAAGTATTCCCCTGGCTGATTTTTCTCATGATTATTTCTTTTATAATTATTATGATTTATATAACTTTCTTCTTATACATTTCTGAGTGGGAGTGGCCATTTTAAAAGTTATTTGCTATAAGAATATTTATTATATGATGTAAGAAAATATAACTGAATCAGCCAGAAATAGCCGAGATGCTTGGATGGCAATGAATAGCTTGTCACACTGGTAAATGAGGATTACTTATCACAATATGAAAGATATATAAGCATGAAAAAGATAGGACTGCAGATGTAAGCATACTGGACTCCCAATTCAGCGACCCAAGGTTTGATTCCTGAATACAGTAGGTGAAATTTTTATGTGACTTGTAAAACTTTGTGCCCAGCTGATTGCAATGGTCAATAACTTGAATCTAATAAAATGTACAGAGAATAAAGCCTGGAATCTGAACAAAAATGTACAGAAGGTAAAGCAGGAAATCTGATAAATGTACAGAAGGTAAAACAAGAATCTGATAAATGTACAGAAGGTAAGGCTTAGCTGGAAATCTGACAAATGTACAGAGGGTAAAGCAAGAGGGTAATGCAGACAATCAAAAAATGTGCAGAGGTTGAGGTGGCAAATCTGAATTAAATGTGGGAAATCTGATAAAATGTACAGAAGAGCAAGGAATCTAAAATACAAAGTACAAAGCAGGGAATGTGATAAAGAATACAGAGGTAAAGAGGAAAATCCAATAAATTGTAGAGAGAGAAAAACAGGGAATCATATAAGATATACAGAGGATTAAGTGCGAAATCTCACTCGATTAACTGTACAGAGGTTAAACTAGGGAATGTACAGAGGTTAAACTAGGGAATGTACAGAAGGTAGACCAGGACATTTGAGAAAATGCACAGAGGGTAAAAGTTAGGAATCTAATAAAATGTACTGAGGATAAACTGTACATAGGGTAATGAAGGGAATCTGATAAATATTCAGATGGTAGACCAGAGAATTGGTTGAAATGAACTTAGGATAAAACTGATGAATCTGATAAAATTTACAGAGGATAAAAGCAGGAAATATGGTATATTCCTGATCAACGATAGAAGAGAAGTCATTTTATTACTTTTCTTCTGGCTTTATGTAAAAGCCAGTAATGTCAATAAAATGATAAGCACACCTTGAACAAGGTCTTTTTTTATATAATTGTAAAACAAGACACTTAAATGTGATTCAAGCTGTCAGACACAGGTGATGTAGAAAAGGGAAGAAAATAAATTGTTAGTTATTGCAAGACTCATAAATCTCAAATTACTTTGTGTGGGAGGAAATCTGATTCTTGCCATGGAAAAGAAATGACAAGGATTGAAAATCTATATATGAAATGTTGCTGTATATAATTTGTGTTTCCTATTTGAAATTAAAGTCTTAAGTCGCACTTGATTGAAATGGACAAAGGAGTAATTTAACGAAGGATAGAATTTCTTCTAACAAACAGCAAGATTGTGTCATTCAGGAGAACAGAAAATACCATGACACTGACCTGCCATTATGCAATTTGCTTTGATTATTATGATTTGGTATTCAGGGGTCATGCTAGATTTAAAGATAATGGGGTGTGATGATGGGATGGGGGCATGGTAGGATAGAACCTAAAATCTTACATATTAATTAAGTAATTGTTTGATATCACATTCTGTATTTAGATCTATATTGTGTTAATAAATTTAACAATAAGTTTTTTGTTGTTCATATTTCATTAAGGTGTGGGCATTTTTATACTGCACTTTTAAGGATAACTAGAGTCATACTTCAAGAGTCATTTAGGTGTTTTGCAATATTGATATATTTCAGGTTTCCTTTTCACACAGTTAACACAATTTGATCCTTTTTACAATTTTGCACACCCCTAAGCAATGTTTATTGTCAAGGTCATTCATTAGGTTAGATTCAGATTCTTGAAAATCCCACCTGGTGTATTAAAATACATCAAAACTTTTAAATGTCAAATTTAAAACAAAAATTATTAATTTCTTTATTGAATGTTTGTTAAAGTATTTATATAAGTTTTCAAGGGCATTTATTTGCAGACAAAAGCTTAGGTTAGTTCTGTGTTGGTCTATTTCAAATATGTTAAAATATATTAATGACTTGGGACAAATAACCAACGCAGGATAATTTCGAAGGTTTAACTTTTAATGTGCACCAACATTTTGAACTATGTGAAACTTCATCAGGATTTGAAAAATGTTCATTTGAATTTCCCTTAAAGTTGAATATTTGATTTTGTTCTAAACATTACATTATATGCATGTAACAGTCTGTTTGAAATTAACTTGAATACAAACATTTTAAGTATGGAAATAATTGCTTAAGGCTTAAAATTGCTGGTGTTATAGGTTTGATGAATTGTGTCATTATTTTGGTATCAAATATTTATTAGGAAAGGGTTAATATGAACTTGTTTTGATATGAAATGTGAAGGTTAGTATTTTCACAGGCATCTGAGTTAGGCTTGACAGTATTCGCAACACCTCAAAATTAGGTTATACCTCATTATGTACAGTGCCTTGATACAAGACAAGCCATGCTTTATTTTCTAGGTTATTTACACATCCCCCAATGTTCAATGAAAGCAATTAAGTTAGATAAATACTTGATTAAGTTTTTTTATTAAACTGTGATATAACTTTGTTTTAATTATTATTAGATACTTTAAAAACCTTTAGATAATTCATTAGTTGTTGATAATTCTTAAGTTGATTAAAAAGACTGAAAATGAGGCAGTGTTTCATTCTTTTAATACTATCTATTCAAGAAATGTTTGCGTATTAATATTTATGTTCATACTAACTGATATGCATAATGATTTAAGACAACCTTGCATGCAGTATCATTAATTCAATATTTGTGTGACTTACCTTACATATATACGGTTATTACATATAATTTATGTACATATAAACATACTCGGATGTTGCATGCTATATATGTTGTTGTATGTATATTTATCCTATAGAGAGAAGCAGACGGTGAGGAGGACCGACCTCCGACCCCACCTGCTCCACTTCCTATTGGAGCAAAGGGAGGTAATCACTCCGGCTCTGATTTTGACTCGGAGGAGGATGATCATCAGGTTATACGAGTGTGTTAATATGTTTTATAGCTATGTGTGTTTCAGCTTAATTTTAACCTGAGCTACTAATTTATCTACCTTCCTTAAATATATAAATGGTGCTTTGATATTGTTTGGTTCACAAATTCTTCAATATTAGAATAATAAGATAGGGCATTAGTAGTACTACTGGTCTTGCACAAAAAGATGGTTTTAACCTTTTTCTGCCTTCACTATCAGTGTACCCATCCCACCTACAGAATAAAACTTTGCCTGCTCAATAGGTGACTGTATAAGTGGTTAAGTTAGTTGTGGAAATATTTGCGAATTTCGCAAATTGGCAAAAAATTGTTAAAATTTTCTCAAGTGTAAATATCAACTAAACTGTCTTTAAATTCTACCCTTGCCTGATTTGCTTATATTTCCTCAAGCAGAATGTCTGGAATTTTAAATTTGGTAACATTTTGACATGCGGAAATATCCACTTATACAATATATATACCAGTCTTTGGAATAAAAGATATTTATCAGTTCTGATATAAATTCATCTGAAAGGTGAAAAGAAAATGTGAATCAAATAATAAGCTTATGCTAATTTAATTCCTATATTGCTAGATAATAATTCAAATTATTTAAAATTACAAAATATATTACTGTGTTTTTATGTTATAATTACTCATCTAATTCTTTAGTGTATATCAATTGAATTATGTCTGATCCCAGATAATATATATAGTTACTAATTGTCAATTTTATATATACTAATTATAGTTATAGTAAGTTAAGAAAATGTTGTAGAAATTGATAATATAATTTTGTATTTAGATATCATTTTCAGAGCTAAAGATGATAAAATTGTTGCTTAGATATAGCTTAAAAAAGAAAAAAGAACGCCATTTAACCCTTACCCTACTAAATTGGGACTGGTATATCTTCGTTACTATGGACATAACGATTTTTAGCTCACAACAGCACGAAGTGCTCAAGATGATTTGTGGTCAGAAGTTTTGTCCATGGTCTTTCAGTGTGTCAGTTGTCAACATTTTTTCAAACAACTTCTCCTCTGAAACCTCTGGGTAAAATTTGATGAAATATTCCTGGGATGGTCCTTAGGCATGGAGCTCTACTACAATTATTTAAATGGTTATTCTCCATAGTATATCTGGGTCAGAAGGGCTTAAACTAAATTTTAAAAATAAAATCTTTAAAAAATCTTCTTCTCTGACAAATTGCTAGGCCTAGCACAATTCAGTGCCTTTATACGAAGCCAGTTACTGGTTAGTTCAAAGAAGAGGATTCGTTTATTCTTTTCAAAGAATGGTTTAAATAAACTTAAAGCTTCCATAACAACTGAGCATAACTAAATCATGTTAAACCCTAAACTTGCTGAATTTCTTGAATGGACTTGTCCAGCTTCCAGTTTTGGAACTGTTCATTATCAGTTTTGGGGATATCAATATGAAAATCCTGGTTAGACTGCACTGACGTGTTGACTGGTAATTGGCTCTATACTGGTGAATGGGGTGGGGGGGGGGGCAAGTCTTATGGCTTTTGTTTTCAGTAGGGTAAGGGTTAAACTTAGTAGCTCTTGCTGACAGAAATTGCAAGAATTCTTAGAGCAGTGCTGAAATAAATGTATAATATTTGATTGAGAAACTTACATAATATATTTTTACAATATTGTATATCTTCATTTAGGCTACAGCTTTTTGCTATGGCATTGTAGTTTAGTACGTACAGTATTATGGCATTATTTGGATAGCAAACTGAGCTTTTTCCGAGAAAGTTGTAGAAAAATTAGATAGTTTTCTATTATAGTTAATTGTTACCCAACTGATGATAATTATGTTAATCTTTCTTACCAGTTTACAATTTTCAATAGAATTAGCTCTGTCCATAAGACTTTTCAATTGTTTCATAAACATTATGAATTACTATGAATATTTCATAAGTGTACTGACATCCATTTCTTATTTCAAATACAAATCTGACTGTAGCTATATAAGTGGTTATTAGGTTTCTTGTTTTGAATCATTTTAAAAAGTATTTCTTAAATTGCTGTGGGTTTAAATCGCACCAGGCAGTTTGGATTCTGTCATATGTGGAAGCTATGTGCAGCTAGTCTGTGTGAGGTTGGTGACACATTCTCTGGTGTTGGCTAGTGCCTTAAATAATACATGGAGGGGCATTTTAGGCCACCTTTACAGTCAGGCTGGAGAGTCAACAATATGACCTTTACAGTATCAATGTGACTGAAAAATCACCCACTCCCCCACCACACACCCTCACAATAACCAAACAAACAAGAAACATGCTGCAAAATGTAACAATTAAAGCAGCATGCCTCCAGATTTATGCTAGTGTGCAAGGAAATCTGTCAAATGATTTAAAAAGTAAATATTGTCAAGTGAACAAAGAATATAGTTTACACATTGCATATGGCACTTTAGATCTTCAAAAATTACCAAAAATAGGTCAGAAGATGGCAAAAACAGCCCTAACTGCATAACTATGAAATTTGATGATAAATACTGCAGAGTACTATATGTCATCAATTGCATATAAAATGTACATCATTTCTCGAATTGTGAATATTTTGACTTTTCTTAAAACTTTAGTACATTTTTCTCAAGGTTGACTTTCTTGAATTATTTTGGCTTTATAATATGTGGGCATGCAGCTTTAATAATCAAGTTATCATATACTCATCATTCTAAGATACCAACCAATCAGTTCTCACGGTCTTTAGTAGCAATTACGTTCTCCAGATTTTTACAATGATTTGTGCATATGTTATAATCCCATATCTCATTCATTAGATAAATATAGCTTGATTCTAACTATAGTCTGCTGATGATAGATAGATCTGATATAAACCAATTATTAGAATGTGACAAAAACAAAAACAAAGATCATATTACCTGACATAAACTTGGCGATATTTTTCTTATCGAGAATTGCCCTGGTAATGGACACTACACATAATTAACGATTGGTGTTTTGATATGTTTTCCCATTATGGCAGTAAAGTTAAGCAACATGTCGTGGGTGGACAGACTTCATTTAAAGGTCTCATATTGTAAATGGAGAATATAACAGGGGTGATTTATCTGGGGAAATGTGTCATTTTGACATCAGGAAAAGATACTGAGTAAACAAGCAATAGATCTTTGTTCTCTCGGTAAATAAGTCTTAAAAACACAAGTTAACAAATCAATGTTTATCTTATATTTAGAATGTTGATTCCTGTAAGAATAACAAAAGTTTATGTAAAATACAATCATTCTATTTTAAATATATTTGGGGTTGAAAAACTTGTGAATTGTTTTCACAATATAATTTATAATTTGATTGAACTTGTGGAGACATTATATTTCCTTTGATATTCTGATCCTCAATTTGTGATCATTTCATCCAATACTTTTAGTATTGAATATAATTAATATTGACTAAGCAAGTGCTAGTGGGAGTAAGGGATATTGCACCTTTCATTATCTATTACGATCAGATTTAATCAAACTTGTATTTATTTGTTTTTCATTGCTCTAATGTAATTCCCAGCAATGTTTGCAATATCTTGTAATACTGGAATGACATTTTGAACAGCATTTGTTATTACTGTTCATCTCGCTGCTCATTATTGTGATTTATAGTCTTTACTTTATGTTAGATCTCCACATCATATATATTTGTTTTGGGATTTAAATTGGAAAAGAACAAAACAAAATGATTTTTAATAATGTCAGAAAAAAGCATTTTGTGTTTGATATTAAGCTCAAAGTTTCTTCTTTTTCTTTATAGATTATTTACTTATTTGTAGTTTTCTATTAGTTTTAGTGAATCTTAATATTTCATTCTTTATACATTCTTGTATAATACATATTATATGATAAAAACAATGATTTTAAAATAAGACGTAAAATGGATTAGAATGTGTAGATTGTATGGTGAATATCAATATACCACAAATTGAACTCAAAATTTAACATCATGGACTTTAAACATAATGCTTTGTTACCTGATTGAGGTGTCGTGTCAAAATTTTATATTTCAAAAATCAGGTCTGATCTTTAGTTTAAAACTAAGATATTCAATGTATTTTTCATAATCTTAAGGGATTTTACCCCTTCAAGATTTTATTTTGCACTTGTATTGCATAAGTTATCTGCTCATGGGTAAACTTAATCTGAATAATTTCTTTTATTGCCTCTGCATATTTTGTATTAAAACTGGAAATTTTACTTTTTACTTTTACAGGGTCCTGGACGGCACGAATCAGATGAGGAAGATGCAGAAGAAGTTTCATTTTAATCACACGACTGTCACATGATAACATCAACTGACCAATCAGCTCACTCTTGTAAATATATCAACCAATCAGGAAGGACAAGTTTATTATATTCAAAGAAACATTACAAAGTTGCCAATCATAAAAAATGTTTGGTGCCACAGCCAATTCATTAGTTGCTTGTAAAAAGATTAATTTGTTTTAATGTTAACAGTTGTACAAAATAACACAAGCTTTTTCATGAGACATTTATGTATATTAGGAGGAAATTTTAACAAGTTTCATTTTATCAAGCGCAGAGCATTGCTATTTTCCTTAGATATTTTTAAAACTTTTTGTTAACCACGTAATTAGTGTTTTAGTATCTTAAAATTGGTTTTACATTAAATGCGTACTGACTAGTTTTATACAAAACAGGGTTTGTGCCAATTGTTTGTACAAGTACATGTTTTATATATTTAGCAATACATTTGTGGCTGATTTAACATTGCTAAGTTAAACATTTTACGTTTTGTGAAAAGGTTTCTATATACATGTTTTTAAATTTTAAGCTTCTTCTTTAATTTTTAAAGAAATTAATTGTTTTATTTTTAAACACGATTTCTATTATGAATATTATCCACATATTCGATTCATATACTCTGTTAGTTTGTATGATTGTATATACTATTACAAAGTCTATTTTCATTTGTATTATAAGCATTTAAATCCATTTAAAATGGTACATTAGAACCAATGGAACTGTATATTTTGTACATTTTGAGGTGTAATGTTGATTATAAAATAAATTATCTGTAGTGTAAGAAATCAATTATTTATGATATCTGAATAGTTATTGGGTAATTTTTATTAACCAGGTTTTCCGAAGGAAAAATCTGGTTATTAGATTTAGGTATGTCGGCGGGCGGATGGGCGGGCGGGCGGGCGTTAACAATTTCTTCTGTGCGCAACTCCTCCTACATTTCTCAACGGATTTTGACCAAACTTTCACAGAAGCTTTGTCATCAAGTGCCCTGGCGCATATTGTCGGTGTTTTGCCATTGGATAATATTTGACCTAATTATGGCCCTTTGTTGTTTTTTCTTATATAGAATATATAGTGAACAATTTCTTCTGTGCGCAACTCCTCCATCATTTCTCAACGGATTTTGACCAAACTTTCACAGAAGCTTTGTCATTAAGTGCCCTGGCACATATTGTCGGGGTTTTGCGATTGGATAATATTTGACCTAATTATGGCCCTTTGTTGTTTTTTCTTATATAGAATATTATATAGTGAACAATTTCTTCTGTGCGCAACTCCTCCTATATTTTTCTACGGATTTTGACCAAACATTTACAGAAGCTTTGTCATCAAGTGCCCTGGCACATATTGTCCGTGTTTTGCCATTGGATAATATTTGACCTAATTATGGCCCTTTGTTTTTTTCCTTATATAGAATATATAGTGAACAATTTCTTCTTCTGTGTGCAACTCCTCCTACATTTCTCAACGGATTTTGACCAAACTTTACAGAAGCTTTGTCATCAAGTGCCATGGCACTTATTGTCCGGGTTTTGCCATTGGATAATATTTGACTTAATTATGGCCCTTTGTTTTTTTCCTTATTTAGAATATATAGTGAACAATTTCTTCTGTGCGCAACTCCTCCTACATTTCTCAACGGATTTTGACCAAACTTTCACAGAAGCTTTGTTATCAAGTGCCCTGGCACATATTGTCGGGGTTTTGTGATTGGATAATATTTGATGTAATTATGGCCCTTTGTTTTTTCCTTATACAGAATATATAGTGAACAAATTCTTCTGTGCTGAACTAGTCCTACATTTCTCAACAGATTTTTTTTTCAAACTTTCACAGAAGCTTTGTTATCAAGTGCCCTGGCGCATATTGTTAGGGTTTTGTGATTGGATAATATTTGACCTAATTATGCCCTTTGTTTTTTTTCCTTATACAGAATTATCAATATATAGTGAACAAATTCTTCTGTGCTGAACTAGTCCTACATTTCTCAACAGATTTTGTTCAAACTTTCACAGAAGCTTTGTCATCATGTGCCCTGGCGCATATTGGAGAGGTTTTGTGATTGGATAATTTTTGACCTAATTATGGCCCTTTGTTTTTTTTCCTTATACAGAATACATTTTTCCTAATACAGAATATACAGTGAACACTTCTTCTGTGGCAATTCCTCCTACATTATTCATGTTTTACATTGCACATAGTTACATTGTTTATTGCTTGCATTTGTATTACAAATACAACATATTTATCTACAATGGAGATAATTGAAAACCTGGTTTCGTGGCATTGCCATGTTTCTTGTTTTTAATTTAAAAACTGGTGTCGGATTTTGTAACTGTTTATGACTGATAAAAAGTGCTGTTAATGAACAATCTAAGACACAAATGCAACACAAAATTTTATTCAGCAAAAAAACAACAACCACATGTTTATAGCCATAGTTCAATGACAGATATGTCAATAGAATTTTTTGTGTGGAGGGAGCCATTCCTGTTTACATAAACAATTCTCACAGTTAAATAACCTCGGGATTTTACAAACATAGAAATGTAATTATTGTAGAGAAGTGTGGGATATGTGCATATTAACATTTTTGTACATTCAGAATAAACCGCCTCCGTGGTCGAGGGGTTAGAGTCCATGACTTCTAATCCAGTTCCTCTCTGGCATGGGTTCGATCCCCAAGAGATGCTTTGGTAGTTTAGCACGGAGGAAGGTAGTCTAGTACTGGTGTTACTCTCCAGGAACGATGGCTAGGAAACTACTCGCCTATATGACTGAAATACTGTTGGGAAAAGGCGTAAAATGAAACAAACAAACAAACATTCAGAATACATGTAAGTATTGCAAAACACATGAATACAACATATTCTCTGCTAAATTCACTAATACAGATTAAGGCGTTGGTTAATTTAGTTAAATTATACTTCGCTAATAATACTTTGTTTAAAAAGTTTAGTAAGTCACAGAATAATGAGAAATGGGCATGTTTTCAATGATAATCATATTACATGATTGTAACAAAAACAGCCAAATTTAGTTATTCATAAGTCATATGGCTAGACATGTTGGATTTAAAATTATAGATGAAAGTTAAAATTTTTAAAATATTAATAACCAATGTCATACGGTGTTATGAGGTTTTGTATACATAATCATATGTTTTAAAAAAAAAATTAAAATGGGGGCTTTTCTAATTTCCCCCGTTGTATTTTTCTGGATTTTTTTTAAATAAAAGATTTTTTAAAAAATAAAAAATGGGGAAAAGAAAAGGATAATTTTTAAGGGCTAGTCAGTTGGCCTAAATCTTTTCTGCTTGAAATTTCTTTACTAATTTAAAATGTTTGGGTTATTTGATTGTGTTTATATTGGTTTTCTTAAATTTTTTTAGTAATGGGTTAAAATTTAGATCAAAAAAATATGAGGGTTAATTTTTTAATCATTTTTTTGTTAAAATATATGGGAAACTTTGCACAGAATATTGGGGTTAAGTTTTTGGTCAAAAATCAGTTTGTTTTAAAAGCCTGCCAGCTCAGTTTATAAATATTTTGTTCTTGCAAAAACAATTTATTATTCTTAATTCATAGCAATTTTTTTCAGAACCATTTTGATAACATTGGCTAGCTTATAATTTTACATAATTTTCATTCCTGAAGAATCTTGTATATATTATAGGTTTACATTTGAATTTTATCACCATTAACCATGGCTACATATTTTTGTATCAGAGAGATTGTGTTCAATATGTGATTCCTATGTGTAATCATTCCTTTCTATGTATATAAAATGGTTCTAACATTCCCATGACTACAGATTTGTTGCCTAATTGATAATGCATGTATTAAAGGAACTCCATTGACGTCCCAATGTTTAAAACAAAACAACTGAAATTATGACATAGATCAATAAGATGATTTTGCACACAAGTTGATGAAAAACCTCAGTAAAATATATTGGACCATCACTTATCAGAAACAGCTATTAGTCATACTTATTAAGTATAGAATAACAATTTTTAACAACTGAAAAAGAATAATTCAAACGTATTTATTTAGGTATATATTTAGACATATATGTAACAATCTAGAGTTGTTGGGAATAGAATAAAAATGTAGCATTATGTACTAACAAAAGAGGCCATGGGAATAATGTTTAAGAGTTTCTTGTTAATGTAGCATTTATTCTTTTAATTGTTATTTTACATTACATATATATAACTTTTAAACTATAGTCTATTTTTATCTTATCATTTTAAGTTATAGATAAAAAAAAAATATAAAATGCTTTAAATAAGTTATATGGGAAATACTAGAATCATTTTTGTCCCTGTTTGTGTGTGTGTAAATTAAACTTTTATCTCATTTTGGCCTTAAAATGTTTGTTAAAATAGTGGGGAAATTGTACAACATATTGCGCAATAAATCTCATGAAAGAAACTTCTTTTTATAAGCCATAGTTTTAAAATCATATTGGTCATATTTTTACAACATCTTGGCATGTTATGACGTTTTATGACCAGAAAGTCAATAAAATCTTCTTTGTAAGATTAACACTATAAATGATGTTGTATATTGTTAAAGTGATTCTGTATGATGTAATGTTTGTTCATATTTCTAATTTCTTAATAAATGTAATAAAATCTGATTATCATTTACATGTTGCCATTGTTTTATATGTGTATATTTTCCAAGTAAACAAATCCGAGATACAATGTGTAATGCATTAATACCGCACCTTTTTCTGACTTTAAGACTATGCGAACGGCGCATATTCTTGACACTTTAAACGTTTAAACATCAGCTAAACATCGTTTCTCTTTTAATGTATTACATTTATATATGATTTAACTTTTCATCCATTCTTTTACTGTTTCTCTACAACCATGACAAAAAAGTTAAACATAAGTTTTGATTTTTCGAATTAATATTAAATTTTCTAAAACAGTTTACAATCAACATCACGTTTTGCCATTGTTATACTGTTCAGTGCAGCCGTTTACTGTTTACTTTAAACGAGCCATTTATGTAACCTGACCGTTTCTTATCGTTATGTTAATAAAGAAGACAGATACCTGAAAAAAGACCATATAAGACTTAAAACGCCAAGATAAAAGAGACACTGTTTTAAGTGATTGCGAAGTTAATGCCATAAAGAAAACCGAATGTAAACGGATTCTAAAAGTGAATCGTTACTCTTCAGATAAAGTGCAATAAATGGAAGAGAAAGGTGAATAAATGAACAGAAACTGTAGCCTTACAAGTGAGAATTTTATCACGGTGTCATATGATACGTTTAAAAGTGTTAAAATTTCTTCTGCTGGTCACAGGATTTTTGTCTTTACCACGTGTTTGCATATCGCGTGTTTAAACACATTTTGTAGAGCTAGGTTAATTGCAGTTGTCTTTGACGAGTCATGTGAAAAAACTGTAATTTACAGGCTTTTAAAGAAAGTTATTTAAAGAAAGAGCTCAATTTACAAAAAGAATAAACTGTCAGGAGTTCATAATTTACAAAACACAGGTTTTGTCACGAATGTGGGTCACACATAAAGCAAAGCAAAACTGTTTAAAAATATTGTTAGAGTTCGAGACTTGTAATCTCAATATTGTGGGTTCGATTCCCGGGCTGGACAACTAAAATTACTTATAAGTCTGTAAAAAGTCGCCCCGTACATTCAATCAGAGATGTTAAATTTCCGATCCTTAAAGATCAGCACGACATTTTTGTTGTGCTTGTGGTATTTTTAGTTTTAACTTTTCGGCATTTTCTAGTTGGGTGGTTCCAGTATTCCTACTTGAATAATGTTGAATCACCCTTAGG